CAAAGCAGAGAGTTTTTTAGACTCTCCCTCAAGTTCATTTTTGAGTCCTATAAGTAGACAAGTAAAGCATAGTGGCAAAGCAGAGAGTTTTTTAGACTCTCCCTCAAGTTCATTTTTGAGTCCTATAAGTAGACCAGTAAAGTATCCTGGATACCAGCATCATCATACATAAGAAATTGGTTTGCATCTTGGGTAAATGAGGAAATTAAAAATGAACTGATTCTAAAAACTCTCTGGTTTGTCACTATGGATTTCCGGACAAGCTTTACTGCATCCTGATCCATCCAACATACTGGAAACCTTACTTTTTTTTCTAAATAGTTGGCTGAAGACTGACAAATATATTAAATGCAAGAATTATAATCTAAATGTGTCGGCAAGATCTTCTGAAGGCGTAAATTTTTTGCGTCGCCAAAGATCTTGCAATATTCATCCACTCTCTGCACAGTGGAATGCGTGCATCCATGTCAATCATGCTGCATTGTTTGCAAAGCATGAGCGTTGGAATTGATCATTGGGCATCGGCCACATTGACCATAAAATGCATGCATCCATGTCAATCATGCTACATTGCTCGCATATTGTGAGTGTTGGAATCGATCATTGGGCTTTGGCCACATTGATCATTAAATGCATGCATCCATGTCAATCATGCCGCATCGGTCATGAAGCGTTAGCATCAGCCACATTGGTCGTAAAATGCGTGCATCCGTGTTGATCATTGATCATAAAGCGCAGGCGTCTGTCAATCATTGAGCAACAGCCGCATCATTCACGCAAGTACATGTGTCATTGGGCTTCAGCCGAATCGATCGTAAAGCGAGCAGGTCAATATCAATCATCATGCATCAGTCAGAGATGCACTTTCGTTTTTCTAGCAAACATACTGGCAACTTTCTTCCCTGTCATACTATTACTTGATGTGTACATCCCAAAATGAACTTCCAGCATCCACGTCCACCTTCCAGACTATGGGCAATCAATTTTGGTGTCCTCGCCATCCGTTTGCAGCAAACATCCACCATCCATTTAGATGGTGCCTTGGCGTCGTTTGAGCAAAAAAACGGCATCCTCGACCTATGTTGTGCCATACTCTACAGACTGGAGACTGTAAAACTTGATAAATTGAATATTGGCATGGCTATTATTGTCTCTCACTCACATTGCCTGATCTAGTTAAAAAATTTGTTCAATATCCTGTGGATTAGGGATGTACCCGAGTGCAGAGTTTGGAAGATATGTTACCAAGATAAGGATTTTGATCCCAAAAACGTCATCAGCACTTCAGCAGTACCATCAAATGGTATAATGAGGAATGGTTAAGAGCATTATTTGTTGATAACTTCTTACCATTAAAAATTTCAGAAATGCGTTTGAGCTCATTTTAAAAGTCTTTTGGATTTGGGGCATGGTGACTCTGAGAAAAAAAGACATTTCAGAGTCAGGCATTTGCAATAGCCATCAGCCGCACATCACATATTCATTTGTTAGTTGGAAGGAAATAATATACGTTTAAAAATTACTTTTTAAAGACAACACTTCCAAAGAATCCAGTATCTCCAATCTTATAGATGTACAATGAATTTCTCATCCAATTTTCGAAAATTAAAAAAATTTATTTTCAATTTTTTTGATATATATTAATTTATTTGATATATAATTTTTTTTCAAAATTATTTATTCTGTTGATTGATTCATGCATTGCCTCTGACTTCACACATGCATGCAGAATTTCAGATCAATTAGAGAGGTAAAAGTGTGTCAAATATCAGTTATAAGATTTGTAGCTGACAAAATTATTTTTTCAATTTTTTTAATATTAAAAAAAATTTTAATTTTTAAAATCATTTATTTTGACATTTGATTCATGCATTGTCTTCAACTTTAAACAAGTGTGCAAAATTTCAGATAGATAGGATAAGTAGAAGTGTATTAAATTTTGATTACAAGATTTGTAGCAGACAGACAGACAGACAGACAGACAGACAAACAAACAAACAAGAAGTGAAGTTAAAGAGAAGTGTTGTAAAAAGGAGACCAAGCCAGGTGGAAGTGACATTAAAGGAGAGGCTAGAGAGTGTGAAAGTTTGTGTTAAGGGTGAGATGGGAACAAGGGGAAGAAGAAATTTATTTGGTTTATTATTGCTATATCCCAATTATTGCACTGTATAGTTTACTGTTATATAAGGTATGGGGCCTCTTAGGCCCTGAATGACTATTTGTGTTGTATTAAATTATCATGGTTTGGTTATTCTAACTTTATTATTGCTTTTTTATCACACCCCAGGGCCTCCACTCTTGCCAACCTCCTCCTCTCCCTCACCCTCCATGCATTCTCCAAAAATTGCTTTTCACTCTGTCATAGCAGCAGTCACCCCCCATTAACAGGCCCACTATCATTGCAATTGATTCGTCTTCTGTTTGCTTGTACATCACACCATCACCCTCATCCCTCTCATCCAGTATCACTCTCATCATTTCCAGTCTCTCCCACTCATATGCATCACACTCCATCATCAGATGATCCACAGTTTCCCTCTCACCTCTGTCACACATAAAAACAAATATCCTTTCTTCTTTCATTCCACCAGTATGTCCATGGATTCACACTCAATGCATTTGCTCTCATACAGAACATTAGGTCTCCTCCTCAACTTCCATCATATATGTACTCATACCTTGGCATCTCTTTCATCATGTACAATCTCAGGCTGTCCTTTCCTTCCATTTCTTGCATCCAAACTCTTAGACCACACAATTTCACTCTTTTCTATTTCATTCTTCCATTCTTTGACATCCCATTTGATCCCTGTTGCACCCTGTACTGTTATCCATTCCTCTCTTAGTCAATTATTCCCAGGGCAAGCCCATGTTTCATGTAACTCTCACTTTTGTACTATTATGATACTTACATTCCCATTTGCTCAATCTCAAGTTCCACAGGTACACCTTACATGCCCAACGTACATCATCCATTCTTTCCAGTCGTACTTCATATCTCGATGCTGCTTTCATTCTTCTCTCTCTAAACGTACTCTATCCCATATCTCCTCTAAAAGCCTTTCATATCTCTTCTAAAAGCCCTGTTGTGTAAAAACATATCCATCCATCCATGTGCTATTTGTAATGCCCGACACAAAATAAAGGCCTCCCAAATACCCCTGGGAAGGGGGCAATAAATGACACGTGAAATAAATCTTGATTTTAAAACGTTTGAAGCATGCAGAGTGTACTCGTCCATTACTAACAGTACGGTACTCTGAAGTCCTCTTCCTGTGTAGACGATGTAGATGTGGAATAAATGACATTTTCTGTGATTTCTGTGTTTTTCCTTTATTCAAATATTACCTTATTCATACATTACTGTATTGCTGATGTGATATTACCGCATCCATGGACATACAATTGAGCATCAACAATGACCTTGTCCACTGCAAGCTTCATATCAGCTGCTGTATAGCATTTCTTCTGTATCTGTAAGCTTACAGGACACTTGTAATTTTGCACCATTTTAATTAAGTCAAGTGAATTCACTATAACTAAAAAAAGATCATAAAAAAACATACCTGAAATAGAAAAGGATGTATTTGTAACAACAATCATATTTTTTTAAGAAATAAATGATAGTTTAGGTTAATTAGATTAGGTTAATTAGGGTGGCTGGCCTAGTGGTTACAGTTCAGGGTACCAAGCTTAGCGCAGAAAGGCGCAGGTTTGCTCCCAGCTCTGTGCAAACCTGCACAGAGGCAGGGGTTAAGCACAGCAGAATTGTAGCAGTGAGTTGCAAGTTTGAGACCGCAAAATTCTATGAATGTTCTGCAATGTAAAGAATCGGCAACAGGCCTACAGCCTACTATGCACTGAAACAACTATTATTATTATTATTATTATTGTTATTATTATTTTATTTATTTATTATATTATTATTATTATATTTATATTTATTATTATTAATATTGTTGTCCAGTGCACAATTTTATCTATGACATTTTATGCACAATTTTGTGATGTCCAAAGATGCATTAATTTTTTATTTAGTAAAATTTTTTTGCACAATTTTGTGATGACCTATAATGCAATTATTTTTTGTTGAGTGAAATTTTTTTACTGAGTGAGGTATATTTAGTCAAAACTCTTTGCTCTTAATTAATTTTTTCATTAACTGGCACCTTTGCTAACCAAGGTTCTACTGTAAACGAGTTTTTATGGGCATCCCTTATTACTCCGGGGGTGTCCCTTGTTGCGCCGTGTGTGTAGATGGGTCACCATTTTTTTATGGAATGAGCCACGCAAATTCCGTAAATCATGTTTTCAAGCCAACACCTGTGTGCAACTTTTATGTACCTAAGTAAAACTTTTTAATACCGTACAGCAAATATTTTTTGCTACAGACCTTAGCAGAGGTACTATTCCACAATCTCACTTTTCATAATTTTTTTCACGGATTTTTTAGAGGTAGTAAATGTACAATTTTTTAACTTGCTTTATGCCATATAGATAGTAAATATGTTGAATTTTCCACCACTATTTTTGGTTTTAAAATATTGGAATTAATTTAGCTGCTGCAACAGTTCTATGAAATGTCAGAGGACTGTCCCTTTTACCCGGCCCGTCCTCTTTTACCCTGTTTGACGGTATATTAAATTTGTTTGAGTAGTATTATTCTGCATGCAACCTGTTTAATGTGTTTTGTGAAATATATTAAATGATTATTATTTTATTTATTTAAGTAAATAATTGGGCACAGTATTTTGTGGGAGACAATGATTATAGTTTCCCTTGTGTTATTGACTGAGTCCCTTGAAAAACCTAAATTGCAATATAAAGTGACGGTGCATATTTGTGAGATATGTATAAACATCAGTGATTTTAAATTATTATCTTGGGCCAAAAAGTTGAGGGTAAACTTTTGTAATGCATTATTTGAATTTCGGTAATTGCCTAGATCATTTTTTGGCTAAGTTCACATTGAAATTTTTGTGAAATGTTCCCATGAATTTTCACAGCTACTTCCTTTCCTCTGAGTGATTTTTTCAACCTTATCTGCCATATATTTTCAGTCTTGAGTGCTGGCAAGTTTAAGTCATATTCATTTGATTGATATAGAAAGCAGCATGAGTGTGAGCAGTAGTTTGGCTGGGCGACTAGGAGTGCCTGGCAGAGGTTCCGTGTCCGCCAGATCATCAATGGTCAAAGGCAGAGCTGCTACTAAGAAACTCTCAACTGGTGAGTAAGAGTTGCATTATTCCACCATCTATCCATTATTAATTTGCCATTCTCTATTGGCTATTCAAATCACTAGTTTGTGTTTGATAGTTTAGACATAGATTTTATCTATAGTATGATACCTATCTCTTTTTATGGTCTCCCATATTAAGAATAAGTTGTTTATTTTTCAGTCTCTTCTAGTGATCATGCTTCAAGATGAAGAAGGCCTGGAATACATTTATAACATTTGCTAATAATTTCTTCCTTTAAAACAATCTAAAATATTTCTGCATGAATGTTATGTCAGATTTCAAAATTTTCTGAGAAATTCTGTATGTATGTTTCTTTAAATTCTAAATATTTTTTTCTTATGAAGCATTTTCATCATTCTGATTTATTTTTGATTGTTCAAATTAGATTTCTCCCATTGTTTCCTGGATTGAATGTATACGAACTCACAGGTGTTGGGGGAGCCTTAGCACATCGTCTTGGAGTGCCCGTGTCATCTGTGGGGTCCAGTCTCAGTGTTGGCATCAAAGCCAGACTTGGTGTGGGTGCCAAGAAGACTGCATACTTTAGGCCACATAACCAGCAATATTATTCACCATACCCTGCAGAGGAGGTAAGTTCAAGTTTATCTTATGATGCACCCAAGTAACAATAACTTCTGTTATGTTAGACTTGTGCAAAGCCATGTTGTGTGGCCTCAAACTACTAATATGTTCTTCAATAGATTATGAGGATTACAGTTATTGCACCTTGTATTTTAGGTCTTAAACATACTTCTGTGCTTTTGATGTCATTACAATGATATGAGGAATGGATTAATTCAGAATATTTCATAGATGTGTATCTAAAGCCATACTGTTGGAGCATACTTTAATGAAAGACATGGAATTATTTGTAGTGTTGTAGCCATCACAATTAAGCATTATTTTAAAAAATGGCATTGATGAGCATGGTAGTGTTCTTGATGTTCCACTTCTCATCTTACATCCATTTATTTTGTATACCATTTCCTAATTACACCTGTTCATGCCCATTGTAGAGACTCAGTGCCGGTGCCGTGAGTGCAGACAGATGGCGCAGAAATATTCGCACTGCAGACTTGGCTGCTCGTAGAGGCATTAATGTGAGTGTGACCTTCTAATGACAAGACAATATTTTGCTGAACATTTTTAACTGAACAATAAGATGTACATCTTTCTTTTACTTGGGAAAGTGGATTTGTGAGAATTCCTGGAGTGCAGTGAATATAGACATTGATTTGTGTAATGTATGACGGTTTTGCATAAATTATCTATACAATTTAAGAAGGAAAAATGCATTAAATACCTATGTATAAAAATATATTTTTGCATGCTGTTGAAGTAAATCATTAATTTTATTTGCCAGGATGGTAAAGCATTCTCAGGAGCAGCCCCTGCACGCTTGAAGATGTCGAGTGGTCGGCTGGTGGGAGGCATGCACGCGGACCTCATCAAAGAAATGGTGCTAGTGTGGCTAAATTGTTTGTTATGTGTTGCTGTGCTGCCCTTCATTCTTCTCTTTCATTGCATTGTTTTCGGCCTGTTACTGATGAAATAAATGTAAAGTATAAATACTTTACAAGTAATATATGGTGCTGTCCTCTAAAAAAACACCAGAAAAGAAATGTCTCCTAAAATAATCATGATTAGATCCTCTAGCTTGCCCTGTGGTCATTTAAGAGCATCACAATGATGTGAAGTCAAAAAGATGACCAACAAACATCTCTTTCACACCCAGTTCCATGTTACAATTTTCGTGAGCTCATCTGAGTTTTTGAGACAGTTATGGTTATTTTTATCACATCATTGTTTAAGAACCAAACTTCATAGCGGTGTGAAGTTACTATTTTATGCTAGTCATGTGTAAACTGTATTTTTAACATATTTTTGTAGTTTCAATATTGATGTAATTTGTATTCTTTACTATTTCATAGGTAAGTATAAAAATAACACTTTGGTCATGAAAAACCTATTCATATTACAAATGATATATCCATACACTATACTTTTCGAAGCTACATGTTCAATTTTATTGCTATTTTTCTTGTAATTCAACACAAAAACACATAAAATGTGTCATAAGTACACTCCCACAGTCAGCTGGTGAAATGAAGAGACCAAAAGCTTATGGTTTGTAACCGTTGATATTTTGGCTTCTGAAATGGACTTGTATATCAAAATACTTATTAATTAAAAAGATTAAACCTTCTAGGTATATTTTATTTAAAACATCAAATGTTCTCTTAGAATTTTTTTAAAGGTGGATTTTTTAGCTCATTGGGTTATTTTTGTGAAATGTGTGGGTTTTCAATGTTTTGCTTTGCAGTTAAAAACAGGTAGCCTGGAAATTATTTTACATATGCAGGAGGTAGTGAAAAACTCAACTTTGATAACAGTTTATAAGTGCTAAATTTATTTCTTCAAATGTTTTGAGAAAAACGAAAATTTTGGTTTTAGTTAGAGGTCAGGTATATATATTTATGACTGTTATTTAGTCTTGATGGATGATATTGCATTCTGAAATAAATATGGTAACTCTATTCTTTGACTAAAAATAAATGCAATTTTTTCTTAAGTTCTGTATTCCTGCATCTAATTGAGAACATTTCATTGTAGTCATTGTTCGTTAACTAATTTGTGTCACATACATGTTTCAAACGTGTCACTTCCCTAAATTATGTTTTTCTCATTCTTGAATTCCTTGCATTTTTTCAGTCCTAACTCAATATTTGCCCACAAACCATCATTTACTCAAATCATTGTATAATTGTCCACAGACCATCATTTACTAAATCATTATGTATTTGCCCACAATATATTGTTTACCTAAATCATTATATATATTTGTCTACTCACCATCATTAACCTGAAATAAATTGAGTCTATCAATTGCTAGTCAAACCTTAACAGCTCTTGATCTCGGCAGACTGGGCTCCGAGGCGCCGCCACACCTCAGTTCTCGCCCGAGTTTCGTCCATCTGGACGCCCCGTAGTCGCCATGGACGCCACGCGCGGGCTGACGGTGAGCCTGCACAACAACAAGGGGCGACAGCGCGGGGGTGGCGCCTCCTACCGCCAGCACGACGACCGCGCCGGCCCATCGTCGCCCCTCGCCTGGGAGAGTGACGAGGACGTCGGCCTCGAGCTCAGGGGTGAGTGGACGCTGCGACGAGGATGTCAGCCGGGAGCTCAGGGGTTAGTGGGCGCCGTGACGAGGACGACGGCCTCAAGCTCAGGGGTTAGTGGGCGCCATGACGAGGACGTCGGCCTCGAGCTCAGGGGTTTGTGGGCGCCATGACGAGGACGTCGGCCTCGAGCTCAGGGTTGAGTGGGCGCCATGACGAGGACGTCGGCCTCGAGCTCAGGGGTGAGTGGGCGCCGTGACGAGGACGTCGGCCTCGAGCTCAGGGGTGAGTGGGCGCCGTGACGAGGACGTCGGCCTCGAGTTCACATATGCTTTTAAATTGTTTCAGATGAGAGCGTGATCTCATTTTGATTACAAAGAAGACCTAATTATTCCAGTGAAATTATTGCAGACAGAGGACCTGTCACGATCATTGTATGTAGATTATTCTGTAAGTTTCGGATCTTTTTGATTGTTCATGTATCATTTGATTCACTGATGCTACATACAGCCCGCAATTGTCCTAATTGCATGGCCATTGTTGCAGGTCGGCGGAGTCGCGTGTATGATGCCGAAGCAATGGATGTCGACACAGGGGTTGATGTGTACAACGCTTCGTTGATGTTTACACGAACCACCACCCATCACCATCATCATCACCATCACGGCCCGCCATCTCTGTCCCCATCTCCACCGGCACCACCGCGCCACCGAGCTGCCCTACCATCCCGAGGACGATCTCCCCCACCCACCTCAAGTTACCGTCCTGTCCGCCGTGATGTGTCCCCCTACCGACCACCTCCTTTGGCGCGCCGCTCCTCCAGCCAATATGTGCAAGAAGACGAACCTTATTACTCGGAGGATTACTCACCCCCGCCTCCACCTTCCCCTCCAAGCTTCCACCCGCGGTATAAAGTTCGCCCGTCTTTGTCCCCTTCCCCCGTGGTGCAAGCTTCCATCAAAACCTCTCGTGCGGCCACCAAGCTCCCCAAATCTTCCGTCAAATCCGTCAAGGCCGTAAAGCGCACTAAGCTCATGAAACCTGCCAAGAAGAGCAGGAAAGTCAAGGCTGGTAAAATCGTAAAGGGCAAGAAGACGAAACAATTTCGTTCCACGCGCTCCTCGTCTCCTGACACCATCAGCAGTGACTCCAGCAGCTCCTCGTCGTCTGGTTCCTCTTCATCATCAGAGATCCCTAAACGACCAGCGTACAAGGCCCCTAAGGAGCGAGTTTTGCCCGAGCCTCATCAGCAGGTCAGACTCTGCTAGTGCATGTGACAGTGCTCATCAGCAACTCTCCTCTTCGAGAATATACGAGTGATCAAGAGTTGCTCCTTACATTTAACAAGAGTTGCCCCTATATTTATTTATTGATTTTAATTTAATTATCAAGAGTTGCCCCTTACATTTATCAAGAGTTGCTCCTATATTTATTTATTGATTTTTATTTAATTATCAAGAGTTGCCCCTTGTGAAGCAGGCTTATCATGGCTTACATAGTTCAGGGCAATCGTCCAAAATAAATTAAAGTATTTTGGTAAGCTGAATGTGTTCTGATAAGCTTGAGCAAAACTATTGAGTGTTTTTCCCGTCATGCATTAGTGTAAAGTTTTCCATCTATTGGTAAATGAACCCTAGGACTAATCAATTTTATGTAATATTTTGGAGAAAGTAGCTTTATGTTTAAAATAAACAAAGGAAGCATATCAATTTAACTCAAACAGTTTTGTGATCTTCATTTTTTTGCATTAAATTCACTAATCCTATCAAGTTATCTTCATGAAAACACTGCTGCTTATGAAACTAAAATATCTGAGTCATTATTAAATCACCGGAAATTAACGGTATTTTGCTATAATTTTCTCCACAAGACAACCGCCTTGATTATTCCGAAGAATTAAAATAAAGGAACAAAAATTTAATTAATTAAAATAAAGGCCAACATGACTGGTTTAGGAGCCTTGTTCATGGAGTTATTTGAAATATTGAGTTGTCACAATGGCTAATTTTTTTTACTAATCCTTTTCAATTCACAGAAGCTCTATAATTTTTAAGTCCTATGTACATAGATTGAAGCTAAAATCATTTTGACTGGTGGCTGTATTCTTGAACCTATGGCTTCGTTCACTGATAATCCTTTTACGCAGGTGTTGGACCCGCAAGTTCGTGAAAGTATTGCGTCGCTGCAAGGCAAGGACCCCAAGAGCAAAAGTGGGCCAGGGCCTGGCATCAAAAACCTGGTTTTTGTCCCGAACAAAACCGGCAAGTCCCTGAATCAACGCTTCACCTTCACTGACAGATGAACAACTCGCCTATCTCTAGTATCCTTATGTGATAAGAAAAACGCTATTAGAAAGCCATAAGACAGGGATCGTAAACTGGAGTGAAGCTCTTTCTGATACTTCATTCCCTTTTTTGAGTGTGGGGTTAATAATGGGACGAAAGCTTATATTGAATCAAAAATATGTAAAATGGCAATCTTTGGTGAGGAGAGACATGCTTTTTGGCATGCTGAGTTAGGCTACAAGGTAGAACCTGTGTTTCTTGACAAGCTGCAATTAGGGATAAATGACGATGTCACGATAAATTTTTTTGTCCCTTTTCACTGGATGGCAATAAATTAAAGTGTTTAGGTCAAGTCTAGTGTTGGCTTTACAATGTAAAGTACAGCACTTTGTATGGAACAAACTGCAATTTCCTATGCTCGGTTCCCAGCAATCTACAATCCTATGCTCGTTGGCTTGATTGTAGCTGCGGTTCAGAACTTCTTTATTTCAACTATGCCGGAAATTGCCCCTGCTTAGTGCGATAAGTAAAAGTTCTGCTGTGTAGACGTTGAATGCAGCATTATTGTGAATAGGATATGTTGATAGTTCTTATTATTCAAAATTTAATAAAGAAGCTATGTAATTGCGAGATTTAAGCAGCATTATTACGTCGGGTTAGAATATTATTGTACCATTTAAGTTCTTGCATAGTTTGTTCATAGTTTTGGTGCAGATCATATGACCTCCCGCTGTTTAGTGATAAAAAAAATTACTTGTGCAAAAAGTAAAGGTTTGTGCTGTGCCTCGTTTAACCAAACTTAAGTTGTCGTGGCATTTAAAGAAATGGTACGGAATTCAAGTCAGTTTATCGGCTATTCTCCGTGTAAGGCCATTTATGAGAGAATACTTTCTGTTTTCATTGTTACGCTAAATTTGATACTTCAATGGGTTATGTTACTTTACAGTCATATGTTGGAATCTTCCCTTACACCCACCGTACGCCCCCTACCACATGCCCCTTTCACTACCTTACCACGTGCCTCTATCACTATCCTACCACACGTTCCAATCGCCAGCTCCTACCTACCCACTCCCTTACCTCTCGTCTCTACCATCCTTGCTAACGCTAGTGCGGTACTAGTGACCGGTAAATTCTTCTAATGTTTCTCAGTTCTCCTTTATTTATTTCCCTAAGTATTTCATAAACTTCCCTCCGCCTGGTCCCAATTGCTACAGATTTCTGGCGTGTAGATCCGCAAAATTCATATATTCTCATTCAAGAGCTAACAACCGTCGTATGTTCGGGATATTTAATATATAAATTTGTTCATTTCTTAGTTGTTATGTTCTTTCCATTTGATTTCACTGATTATTTAAGTATTAATATTTATTTATTTCATTTTCATGACTTGAACGTGTTGTGTTGATTTTACTTTAAGTTTAATGACCTGATATTGCATCTGTGGTAAAAAAAAAGCCTGCGATGTGTAAAGTTTCATTGCCGTGGTACTTCAATAAAAGGCATTTCATTGGAGAATTATGCAATCCTCTCAGTAGTGAAGCATAAGGTTGGAGTTGCCAGTAAAGTGATGATTTTATATTTTTTATTTGAATGAAAACCATCAAGTTATTTCAGTGACCTGACCCGCCTGCCTTGATGGTTGTGACCTGAGCTGCCTGCCTTGATGGTTGTGACCTGACCCGCCTGCCTTGATGGTTGTGACCTGAGCCGCCTGTCTTGATGGTTGTGACCTGAGCCGCCTGCCTTGATGGTTGTGACCTGACCCGCCTGTCTTGATGGTTGTGACCTGTCCCGCCTGCCTTGATGATTTATTACTCAACCATTACCCGCGGGGACAAGGGCACCTTATAACCTAATGAAGCAGTTCTTGATGACCACCCACTTATTAAGTACTCGGTATTCATCAAGCCATTAGGTTATAACCCCTGCACGGGAAAATGGGCTATCCCGCGGGCTATCCCCAGCCAGATTTCTTATTTCTTTAGTTTAAATCGAGTTGAAAGAATTTCCTTGGTTCAACGCGAGTTGAAAGATTATATGAGCACTAGTGTCACACATGACACCTTCAACACGGGTTCACTCGTGTCAACTTCAACACTTGTGGGATTTACCGATTCTTTACGCCATGAGTAGTTTAACGTTATTTTTGAGGTGTTTGCAACAATTCGATTACGATTATACGGAGAATTATTTTAGATTCGTATGAATTAGGGCAAGTAAATGCAATAATAATAATAATACGTTTATACAGAGAATTCTGGTAAATTCTTATGAATTAAGGCAATAATATAAACACTTTGATGTGGAGGATTCTCGTAAAATGATATGAATTAATGTATGTTAATTCATATCGAGCTACCGCTTATGGTAGCTACTCATACATACACATGAGCTTATTTGACTTAACCCTTATGCGCCGTTCTCGATAACTTTTTTATTCGACTAAGGTCATCACTTGGCTGTATGGAAGGATAAACCGTACAATAATTTCAGGTCTTCATGTATCATTTTCTCGTGGCTCCTTTTTTTAATTAAGCGAAATTGATGTTTGCACTGTAAGTGTATAAATAGAAACTTGTTGAATTGGGTGACAAAGTGAGAAGTTTTCTCACGTGTCCAGTGGATCCAGCAATGACCACCATTAACTGATCTAATTGCCACTTATATCCTTGTTTCAAAAAGAAGCTGATATAACTGTAAGCTCTTAAAATATTAGAGCAGGCAAAACAGGCTGCCATGTTGCCCATTTTGATGCAATTTGCGCGCACCTATGCGCCCTACATCACCTTGCCCGCTGCCGCCCTCATCGGTTTCATCGGGTGAGTCATGTATTCATTAAGTCTTCATTTGCCTGTTAGTCTTTATTATAAGTCTTCATTTGCCTGTCAAATCGTCCAGTCTTCAGCCCATCAAGTTAAGTCTTCATTAACCTGTCAAGTCGTCCAGTCTTCAGCCCACAATTTGTCTACTTCATAGTAATTATTTTCATTAAAATCTCACGATTTCATCATATTTGTATTTGCATAAATAATTATTTTACAAGATCGACGTCCTTTTAATTAGAAGATATCTCTTTTTAGCGCATTTTCTCATTTATGGAAAAAATTCACTATTGTGCTCGCCGTATCCGTCTGTCCGTCCGTGACTTCACGTTTTAGTCTACGAGAACATGCGCTCTCTGTCACTCACTGCAGTGAGTACTGAGTTATATTTTTTCAACCTCAATGCGTTTGGAGTATCTCCAAATGAACGGGCAAACCCAAATTATCAAAAGCCGTTCGTTTCTCTATCCAAGTCACAGCAACTAAAATGGTGCAATTGTATATTATTTCATGTTATACAAATTTAATGTTCCAGGTACAATATCGAGGGCTTCTACCGTAAGCAGCTTCCCAACCGGCCATCTGTGGAAAACTCCCGCGACGAGCGCATCGTAAACAAAATCGTACAAGAAACACAAGAGAAGGGTAAAGTGTTGCCAGATCCTCTCAGCGAAAAAACCTTTGTTCCAGATACTATCTTCTCAAGTAACCTCTCACCGGGTCTAGCAAAACCCTCCAAAAGTTAACCTCCGCCATGATAGTACCGGATAACCGGATAGATCATTTACTAGTTTATTCAAATTTGTACAGTAAACTTGGAGCACCGTGGCCAATAAAGAAGTATTGTTAGAGGTTTATTGGCTATTGATCCTGGCCTTTCTTTGCAAATTCTTTTAGCCAACGACTCTTTAGCAGGAAAGCAGTTTACCTGGAGACGTGGTATAAAGAAACGACATAAAAGTTATATTCCAGCCTGATATGTGCAGGCACCCGACCAATGCCTACATCAAAATTTTCCTTAATCTGTCCCTCGAGCTCCGGATGTTATTTTTAAATATATACGGTAATTAAAATTATATTGCATTCGTTGAGCGCGAGCCGCATCTCGCTATGTTACCCCGGCAGCGAAAAGATTGTTAGTCTATCGGGCTGTGTATTGTTCTTATGAAAACTTCAATAAAATTGTTTTTTATGCGTTTTCTATCATTGTTGCTTATTTCCTATACAAAACAAAATTTGTAAAATGAACATAAATCCATGGGAGAAATAATGGGAATTTATGAGAAAAAATTGAAAATTTTTAGGTTCACTCTTTGTCACATTTGAATTGGTGCTTCCTACATAATGATTTTATGTGTTCATTTAGCGTTAAATAGCCCGTTATTTTGTTTCAGCGTTCAATAGGCCGTTATTCATTTCAGCGTTCAATAGGCTGCTATTTGTTACGACGTTCAATAGGAGGTTATTTTTTAAGCATTAAATAGGCCGTTATTTATTTTAGCGTTCAATAGTCCGTTAGACTTGAAGCAGATTCTTAACATCGCACAACAATCGCAGCCTTTTAGGTCTCGAACCCGCACCGCTAAGCCCCAATGTTGGCACTATGAACTGTAACCACTGGACCACCCTACCCTGCACATTAAAATGCCTGCCTGTTCAATATAAATTTTCTGTCCATAAAATTTCCTTTCATCCAAACATTCAACACCAGATAATGATAGGCATTAGAAGATGAAAGCCAAATTTATTACCCTAGGTCCCTAGATATGTGTTATAATATATATTTCGGGATAATCACGATGTCTCGAAGCCCGTTGTGAATGTAAAATACCAATTTGGCGTTTCAAGCTTGCATTTTGCAGAGGTGCTTGTTCATTAGGCCGTGTCTAGATGTTACAGCTGGCCTGTATGAGGTTTCCTTTACATCTTCGACACGGCCAACAACATTGATCAATAGGTTACGTCGTCGAAGAAAATTGTTTGGATTAAAAATAAAATTGAAAAATGGCAATGCTTTTAACCACCGCTCTGTTAAAAAAATCAAATAAAATTTTAGTATGGGGTCACGAAAGAATTGGGTAACCTCCAAGTTCTGCGTATCCAGCCTCCCCGATTACGTCGTTGGCGCTCCGGGTATGAACGCGTTCAAGAACAACTAGATAAAGCTATGGAAAAATATATGTTCAGATTGGAAATGCTTAGCACCATATCGAACCCGGTAGAAATCTAGTAGCTATTTCAAACTATCGTCAGTCCTGAAAATATCTGGTCAAATGACACGATTTAGATCTGTCCAGAAGTCACAAAAAGTAAGAATCGGCGACAGGCCACATCAGGCCTACTCATCAGCGCCGACATCGCTATGTTATGTTATTTGATAGTTTTTGGCAGTATTCATAATATTCATAATAATACGGTGGATACTCCATAATTGAAGATAAATCCCACCAACGGTTGCGCGTACGCACATGAGGGCATTGGAGAACGTTTCGATATTCGAAGAACATGTAACGTCTTAAGATAAACAGGCGCTAGAAAGGTTTTAGTTATGGTACGCCTTCAGCCAGCCTTGTATAGCTAACTGGAAGGCAGGTAGCGATGTGGCTGCCACGACGTCTGCACTCAGGGAGTTCCATATTCTGATGGCCGACGGATAGGAGTGTAGGTGGACGTCGGTTCTGCTGCGAACAGACCCAGCAGAAAGCCATCTCGAACTCAGCCACTCAGTCAATCTGATTAATTTTTTAGATTAGTTCGCATGCACTCATCGTTGACCTACAACACTTTTCTTATATTCACTATCTTCAACATTTATTCTATTCTTCTACATTTTTTTTATCGATATATTCATTTCATCATCACAGTTCATCAACTTCTACGTGCGCATTATTAAGGGTGTTTTCTCTCCTTAAAAATATTGAGTGTAACTTGTGAAACAATCTCTGGTCTGTTTAGTAAATGCATAGAGCACAGCATGATATTCATATTCCAACATTTATTATTTATTCATATCTATGTGGGAGTAAAAATTTTAGTACATTGTGTGCTTCATTTCTAACGTCTCGGACAAATTTACGGCCGGCCGTAAATTTGTCCGAGACGTTCATTTATATTGGTTAATGTAGGAATTATAAGCGATTTCACATCATACATATCAAACTCTAAATTAACTCATCTTTATATATATGTTGGGACGAATGTAAGCGAATAAATACTAACTAAAATGACCATTTCTAAATTTTGACCACGGTTAGGTCTCTTGGTACCCTTGATTTTTGCACTAACTCTTCAAAATCACATTCAATAGAATTTAAGATACTATTATAACTGGAGTTTTGAACAACTATGCATCCGCGCTATGCTAATAATCAAATGTTATATATAAATATCTCATTCTGAATTTTTAGCCGCAATTCCCAAAATTTAAATTCACAGAACAGTCTTTTAAAAAAAAAATTCGATATCGTATTGCGTTTGAGTATCTTTCTGTTGCTAACGAGTTGGATGAAGGTAATATAACTTTTTTTGGTCATGGGCTTTGATATTACAAATATTTCAATTTGGTAAAATATGCAAGGCTTTTTCTACTGATCGGCCACTACAGTCTTCTAAAGTATTATCTCCATGTTTGATATCTCACAAATTGCACGGAGATTATTGATCTTAAATGGGTCATAGTTTCGAATAACATTTCTAAGCAGATGGTTTGTAAATTAAAGCCATAAAATTTACAGAAAGCTGTAAGTTAATCGAAGATTTTGTGCCCGTGTAAGACATTTGAGCCTGTTGTAGCCTGCAATTGAGGATCAATAGTGGAACACTGAGTGCCCAAGACGGAGCCTAACTATGAGACTGATGAATGAAATAACTCCGTCGTAATTTTCCGTTTCTTTTGAACCATGAGCATTTGGCTCATACCAGTGACCTTTTTATAAAAGTTTTACTAGTAATTAGGATTCTAAAAGTCAAAGTGTAGTGATTGATTCCAGAGCTATGTCGTCTGTTCGCATCTGAGTCAAATGAAATGTTCTTTTGTTTTGACCTATTTTGTTGAGCTTTATTTACGATGAGCGGCAGGCCTCGAACAACAAGTTTTGCTGAAGGAAATAAAGGACCTCTTGCAGCTGTAAATTTTCCAGGAATGAAAATCAGTAGTAAGTATATTGTTTATTGCCTAAGGTGTAACCGTTAATATGCAGTGAAGTACCTACTAAAATCTTCTATATTAGCCTATACTTTATCATGTGAGTCATGTCAATTGTCAAGAGCCGAATTAGCCTATGTAGGTATCCTTATCCATATGTAAAATAGTTATAATTTTATCCTCATTTATGTGATGCCTGTTTCTTTGCTTAGGAAATGAGCTTGCTTGACTATAAAGTATAAAGATCACTTGGCCTGTGATGGCCATGGGGATTGGGGATTGTGACATGGCAAATAGGTAGGTATACATAAACTGGACTTGTGGACTAGGCCTAATCTGGTCATGTAAGGCTTTATACTTCCTTTTACCTATCATGCATATCTTGCAGGTTGCAAGTGAAATTTGTCTAGGCTAATATCAATAAATGTAAAATCTTACAGGCTTACGATGACAAATTAGGCAAGAAATCATTAGAATCTACAAGGAGAATTTTTGCATTTCCCAATAGTGTAAATGCGGTATATTTCAACATCGTGGGTAATTCCGACACCAGGATGGAATTCTAATTTTGAAGGTTCATATATTATTTCGATCCACCGAGACCACTTTTTCTATCCAACATTGTTATTTGAGGCAAAAAATGAACTTCTTAAAGGCATAAAATACATAGGCTAACTTGCTCAGTTTCTATAAAGTACCTAACCACTTGGAAGTTTTATGCCTGCACCTTTCACTCAACAATTAAACTTAGACTTATATAAAGTATTAGTTAGTTAAAAGTTTGTCTCTTAAGTTGACCGCAATGAACTAAACTTCATTATGTAATCATTTGGCAGGGATTTCCATCATGCAACACTAAACACGCAATTCAGAGTTCAGACGATCAGAACTACATCACATGTAAGCTATCGTGATACTGAATTGAATACCTCGCGGGATGATTCCCGCTAGGTATTCAATCTAGCGGGATGATCAATGAACTAACATTGATCATCCAGAGTCGAACAATCGCTCATAACAGAGTCGAACTAATCACTCGTATACTAAGTGCAAGAGAATGAATAATTATGTTGTTTCTAATCAAATGAACGAAACCTTTTTCTCTTTCTGATCTTGACTAGTTAACTTGATTCGGCGTTGGCAACACGGGATTGGATTTCAAACCACACGCGATTTCGGAAGAGCGGCAGGCAGTTTCCAATGAGCTCAGTTTATATGATTTCACTGCAGTGGAAGGTGAGGTGGTGTAACGCGGTGGTAGGGTTGATTTTTCGATACGTTTTCATATATTAACATGAGAATATATTAACTATACAGAATTCCACACTGTCCGACACTACTCAATATTTTCCTTTACATTAAGCTTTGTCTTAGACTTAGTTCCACGCATTCGTTGATGGTTGAAATAGTGACATCAGTATGAAATTCTGAGATTAGAGGTTTACTTAAGAAAAGTGTTGCGCCTTAGAAATAAAACATTGCAGGCAATTAGAAACAAGTATGCAAGCTGTCAGAAATTGGCTTTGGCATGAATAAAATGTCAGGCAACACAGAGAACGTCCCACTCCCAACATTGTTAATTGTGCTTGTAGCTCACGGATGTGCAAGAAGGATCTACAGCAGGAAATACTATTTAGGTACTCTTAACATAATGGTTTCAGATTAAATATAAATAAAACATTTATTGCACCTATTCATTATGTCAGCTGTCAAATTGAGGAGAAACTCATTGGCAATTGGAGAAACTTATCTTAAAGAAAAGGCAATGCACAACATGACACTTGCATAACTCAGTTGACTGACTAGATTATGTAGAGTACTAAATAATTTAGAATTCAAACCTTTAGATTCTGTGAACCTTGTGATTTCTTCATTATTAAAACTAAAGAAGGCTCACAATATATCACGTAAAGTTTTCACTCAATTATCATCCCAAAGTTTGGGAGCTTTATCTGCAGTTAATGCGCTGTAGTTACCTCACCCACCAATTGGTAAATGAGAATTAACAAGTAAGATTCATTATTAGATTCCTGCCACCTTGGCTGTTGGCTGTTACACACAATTGATTCTGCATGTATAACATTTACAAAGGTTATTAAATCATTTTGTTGAATGTCAGTTATTGATAAATTTGTAATATAGATGAATTCATATCCTTCATTTTTTCACATCAGTAGGTATATTGATATTGGTATCTCTGCCTTCTTTGTTAACATTAGGAAGGTTCGGTTGGCAGTTGTGATCGCAAATGGGAAGGAGTCTGCATGTTTCAGTGAGTGCATAAGTGATTAGTTCTGTATTTGTGGCTTGAATCATAGACAGTTTTTCATGTATGTGTGAGTGAATGTACGTTGTGAAGATGTTATTCTTTGCAATTTCCATCAATAGTGACATAACTACATTATTATATTACACACTTGAAATAAGAAGTGTAGCATTATGCATTAAATTAGCATCAGTGCGTTAACATTGTGTACATTTGGGGCGGTCCATTCTAGCTTTCTAACGCTGATTGGACTACAGTGGCTGTGACGTTGCACACATTCTGATGCTAATTGGATTCTTGTGACTGTGACGTGCACACGTTCTAGCAATGATTGGATTCATGTGACTGACGTTGGACGCGTTCAAGCATTGATGGGATCCTTGTTACTGTGATGATGTAAGCTATGTTTTTTCAATGAAATAGCTGTGGCAGTTTGCAGAGACTTGTCGATGATGATGGACTGAAAGTGGAGGTATGCTTTCCAGATTTTTAGGTCATGCTTTCTGATTTGCTATGTTTACCAGTTAATATATTACCCCTCTGGAATTCCACACTGAGTTGACGTCATACTATTGCGCGCCATACTATTGCCAAAACACTAGGTCTGGGCCGTCTGGCGGGAAAATGTTAAGATCCAAAGAGACTGTGCACGTCACCCAGTGAGAAAATTGAAAAACATGTCACAGTTGATAGTTGACCTTGCTCTAACAAATAGTGATAAACTGTTTGTGTAGACAGAATATTATTATTGTTGAGACAGAATATTATGGTCTGTGAATATTATTAGGAATCCTTTAAGTATACTTGTATTTGCTGATTTCAAGTGGTAAATAAATTGATAGATGATTAAGTTAAGCGACGGTTTTTGACGCATAAAAATTAATTCCGACACAGCTTAGAATTAGACACACACAGCTCATTCCAAGCTGTGTTTAATAATTAAAATTTTCCTAATTAAAAGCTTAATAGCTCTTTAATCAAAAGCCTAATTAAAAAATTAAAATTTTTTAATAAAGCTCATTCCGAGCTGTATTGTATTCCGATACAGCTCACACAGGGCATTTGAATTCCAACGTAGGGCACCAGAATTACAAATTAATAGAGTTTGAAGCGCTGCCAGAATTAGTCTCACAATATGCCAAATTTAGTCACACACAGCATCGGAATTCAGGGATTTTTTAGGTTTGCATTCTAAAGGCTTTTAAATAAATATGGCAACAGTTTGTGATGTTTCATTGTTGCTGGTGTGTAGTGTGGTGTTATGAGAGTGACTTAAAGCAATCAAAACTCAAGTTGCGCATACGGTGATATTTTTATAGCCATTCTTTTCTTGCTACGTCCTTAATGTGTCAGAAGAATATACTGCATTTACCCTATGTCTGGAAAGTGGAAACTGAGTGGAAAGCTCTAGTTAGCTACGTTACAGATTGAAAATTTTTATATTCTATGCTGGATCATGTGTGATGTGTGGAACAATTAATCAGGTTGACTGAAATTTTGCTGAATTGTGCTTAGCCTATCAAAAAAGTACAAGATGAAATTATTGATTAAATTTGTAAATAAATTTATTTTCTTTCTATTTTTATTGGGTTCTCAAACAATAAAAATTGGTGAAATATAACAAAATTACCTGTCTGAGTCTAGAATAATTCTAGAAATTATAGGGTAGGCTATAAATTTTCAAAATTTGACTTGAACAAAATTCATTTGAGGAGATTTCTGAAAACCCTAGACAAAAATGTGCTCTCTTCCTTATTCAGGATGGAATTCTAGGAATAATGGCGAATATATCATTTATGATCCATCTCGGCCAGTTTTTTGCTCCTAAGTTTTACTTAAGATGGAAAGAATAAAATGGAAGGGATGAGGGATCAAATTTGCACTTGGAAGAATGAAGGTTGCAACACTTTTAATATTTCAATTAAACTGAATAATAACGAATAGTTCATTTACAATTTGTCTCTAAGTTGAACATAACAAATTAACTTTAATGAATTAATAACAAATCATGCCATCAATTTGAATACAACATAATGCACACTGCCGAGGCTATTTGAGGAAGCAAAATCACTTATAATTGAAATTCACTAAGTAACTACAGAATCCTAGTATTCAATTTGGAATTGATGGACAAAAATTAAACCTTCTTTCCCATGGTATTTGTACAGGCGCAGCTGTGAAGATCGTGAAAGAGCCATCAAACCGTGCGTTGGGAAGCCACAAAGTCACATTCTACCATTGATTGGTCAATATCATAATTGAAGAATCCTCGTGTCATGGATACTTGTTTACATGCTATAAATTCCTATAAACTGCAAACTTTTTCTGATGTTCATTACAGATTCTTAAGTTTTGCATCATATATTTGCAAATTGTAGTGCCAGGTTATGAATTCTAATTCATTTTATACAATTTTTTGGATTGAAATTCTAACATCAAAATAGAATAATTTACGCTTCTGAACATCTAGCATTTTCTACAAGAGACAAGATTCTCTTAAATTCCCAGTGGGAGACAGTCATTCATGAGCCCTTTTTAGCGCATTTTCTCATTTATGGAAAAAATTCACTATTGTGCTTGCCATGTCCGTCTGTCTGTCTGTCCATGACCTCAGGTTTTTGTCGACGAGAAAATGCGTTTTCTGTCACTCACTTCAGTGAGTACTGAGTTATATTATTTTTTGTCTTCAGTGTTATCTGAACTCTGAAGTTGTTAGGACAATATAGACAAAATTAGTACAAAAA